AAAAAAAAAAAAAACTGTATTCATGCGGTACACATGCGTACCGAACCGAAAGACCCGTACCGAAACGGTTCGGTACGAATACGTGTACCGTTACACCCCTAGTATATATACACATACAGTATAATTATATCCTATCATATATATATATATATATATATATATATATATATATATACATATACATACACATACACACATATATGTATGTATGTATGTATGTGTATATGTATATATATTAGGGGTGTAACGGTACACGTATTCGTACCGAACCGTTTCGGTACGGGTCTTTCGGTTCGGTACGAATACAGTTTTTTTTTCTTCTTCTTCTTCTCAGGAAATTCAAATAATAAATGGCGTTTGACCGTCTTTTATGTGGCACGACAGATCGCTGTATATTATTATTATTATTTTAAATAAACGAAATCACTGGTAAATAAAACACACCTTAGTATCGATATTTTTAGTTTGAGTATCGATACTTTCGATACTCGCGTCAGTATCGATATATCGATACTTAGGATCGATATGCCCATCCCTAGCCGTGACGCCCCGCAGATTTGTGCAGAGCGGAGCGCGAATGAACTCGACACAGCTCGTTAGTTCACTAGAGAAATTAAGTCTAGAGAGGAGCATTTTGCGAAATATTACACCATATACTCATTATATTTTACTAAACCTGTTAGTCTTAATTACTTAATGTACAGTATGTTTAAATTAATCTGTTATGAAACATGCTATGACAGCCATTGTGTAATTGAATATATTTTAACAAATAACTTAGAAATTGTATTATTTATAAGTTAATTTAAAAACTGCATTATGTGCAATTTACATGTTTGCATACAATTTTTTTTTTCTTTAAGTTGAGTGTTGACCATCTATTTAAAAATAAATAGCAATTAAATTTAAGCTTGGGTTAAGTTGTTATGCCTAATTGTAACCTTATAATGTAAAAGGTCTCCCTATAGTTTTAAGCATAAGCTGATAAGATTTTTATCACTAAGAAAATTTAAACTATAACTGAATGTATTTAAAGAAAGAGCAACTTGTTCAGTAAACCATAAAAAATAAATAAAAAAAGTTTAGTTTTCCCCCCTGCTGTACCGAAATCATACCGAACCGTGAGGTTAAAAGCGAGGCACGTACCGAACTGTCATATTTGTCATATTTAAACCGTTACACCCATAATATACAATATATATATATATATATATATATATATATATTTTTTTTTTTTCCCCTTTTTTCTTTCTCTGGGTCTGTTCCCTCACCTCCTTCAGGTTTCTGAAAAGGAGATCATTGTTCTTGTCCAGGAAGCCTAGAATTTGGAAAAAAACACAATGACGTCAGTCAACGCTCAGCCTGGGAAAAAATCTGTGGGCATAAGTGCCCGCTTTTGTTCAACGATGCGCTCTCTTTCGGTTTCTTCATTTTTAATCGCTGTCCTCCGTTCAGTAACTGACCGTTCACATTGTAGTTGACTTCTCCTGCGTAGTGGATCAGTCTGAACTCCTCACGACCCATCACTTTACGGGTTTTTACATCAGCCAGCTTGTGACTGTAATGTAGTGCAGATAAAGATGTATAAATATCATATATATTGGTTTGCAAATGCTCAGTATATGATTTTAGGTCTGATATTAGAAGGACAAAAGGAAGGTGGCGCGACTGACGTTAGGAAGTGTGCATGGCCACCGACAGTGTCCTCAAGCTTCTCCAGGAAGGTGATGTCACTGGCATCTCCAGGCCGGAGACACTCTTCATCCTGTAGAAAGAGAGGTCAATAATTTTAGATTTAAGCAGCTTAAAACAATATCTAATATGTTGATGGAAGTTCACAGAGAGCATTCTCACCAAGATGGAAATTATTCCTTTAAACTTTTCCTCCACTAGATCACAAATGATCTTGTTGTTAAAATATTGCACCGGCTCCCACTGGAGAAACACAAAAACATGAGCATCACTGCATTTGAACTAAGAGGAAAATATTCAAGATTTGTGATGCTGTTTTTGATATAAAATTCAAGGAATGCAAAATCAAGAGCATTCCCAGCCCACCCACGAATCAAGGCCACAAACAGGCTTTCTTTAACAGTCTATGCTTCACAATGTTTTATCGGCAGTGTGAGAGGTCAGCATTACCATACTAATACAGCATGAAAATAAAGCCCACGGCACGTTTGCCCATAATGTGCCCATTGAGCTGCGGGTAAGACCCCATTCCAGCACCCCGCACACGACTCACATATGCTGAGCTGTGTATGTGTACAGTACGCATATGCGTATGTGTTTCTGGGAGTTCTCACCGTAATTCCCTCAGCTTCATATTCCTCCTGCTCCGACTTCAGAGTCAGTTCAATGAAGAGCTGCTGCAGCTTCTCATTACAATAGTTGATACAAAACTGCTCAAAACTAAACGGACAGAGAAAGAGAGGCAGAGTGAGTTATCTCTGAAAATTAGTCTGATTATACTCTTGTAATAAATAAATAAATTTATAAAGAAAGAAAGAAAGTTACCCAGATTCAAAGATAACCAAAATAAAAGGAAGGCTTTATTTTTCTATTTAATGTATGAAATATGATATACTGATTATCAAAAAATTATTAATAATATGATTATTATGATCATTAATATGATTAATTTCATATATATATACAATATGAAAATATTTTAAAATACTCATGTTAAATAATTTATATTCATATTAAAGGGGTCTGTAACAGAATATGCTGACTGTCATTTCGTAAAGTTTTCGCATTTCCAAATGCCTGAGAGTAGAAAAACGAACAACGATGGGAAGGAAAATTGATGAATATAACAATTCAGGATGGCATACAGATAAAACAAGTTATATAATTTAGACAAATGCGATTATACACACGCTCTAGTCTAGTAGATGTGCACACACACTGCTAGTTTACAGGGAAGCACCACATCTGCAAAACATCTGGCAGAACGGCCATCTGTTCTGCTTCTGTTGGCCTTCCCATTTTTAGACGTCCTTCATATATGCGCCAGTCTTATCGCACAGATAATAACAGTGGCGCATAATTACTGGAGAGGTTTACTAGGACTACAAACTGCTCAGAATAAATTCAGCATCTTTTCCTTGGCATCGTTGAGAGTCATTCTTTCGCTAAGACAGCAGTCCAGGGCAACAATTACACCCCGTACTGATCTCACCACTATACGCTGGCATCTGGAGATTAATAAAACTGTATGTCATGAAACATGTTGGGTTACATGTGCTGTGTACATGTTTACCTCCAGCACAGGGTTGGACTGCAGAAGGCGATCTTTGACAGTCTGCACATGCTCACTGGCTGGGCAGGTGACGGCGTAGTACTGTAGAACCTTTTTGGAGGCTTCGGTCTTGCCAGCACCACTCTCACCTGAGATGAGGATGCACTGGTCCCGTCTCTCAGTCCGCATGGAACGATATGCATTATCAGCCACGGCATAACTGTATAGGGAATATGTCAAGATCATAAATGCTTAGTTATGTATTTTACCAAACGACAGTTCACAAAGTAAAATTACTTTAATCAACACTGTAAGATTAAGTAAATAATAATAATAATAATAAATGAATATAACAATTCAGGATGGCATACAGATAAAACAAGTTATATAATTTAGACAAATGCGATTATACACACGCTCTAGTCTAGTAGATGTGCACACACACTGCTAGTTTACAGGGAAGCACCACATCTGCAAAACATCTGGCAGAACGGCCATCTGTTCTGCTTCTGTTGGCCTTCCCATTTTTAGACGTCCTTCATATATGCGCCAGTCTTATCGCACAGATAATAACAGTGGCGCATAATTACTGGAGAGGTTTACTAGGACTACAAACTGCTCAGAATAAATTCAGCATCTTTTCCTTGGCATCGTTGAGAGTCATTCTTTCGCTAAGACAGCAGTCCAGGGCAACAATTACACCCCGTACTGATCTCACCACTATACGCTGGCATCTGGAGATTAATAAAACTGTATGTCATGAAACATGTTGGGTTACATGTGCTGTGTACATGTTTACCTCCAGCACAGGGTTGGACTGCAGAAGGCGATCTTTGACAGTCTGCACATGCTCACTGGCTGGGCAGGTGACGGCGTAGTACTGTAGAACCTTTTTGGAGGCTTCGGTCTTGCCAGCACCACTCTCACCTGAGATGAGGATGCACTGGTCCCGTCTCTCAGTCCGCATGGAACGATATGCATTATCAGCCACGGCATAACTGTATAGGGAATATGTCAAGATCATAAATGCTTAGTTATGTATTTTACCAAACGACAGTTCACAAAGTAAAATTACTTTAATCAACACTGTAAGATTAAGTAAATAATAATAATAATAATAAATGTTAAATTAAGTAGATAAAATGAAGTAGCTAAATAAAAATAAATATTTATATAGATTAAAATGTACATATTTGAAATCAGATTGTTTTCATTTTCAGCATTTTAATTTAATTAATTAAATTAGCTTGAATTTACTTAATCAAAATACAATTATGACATAAGCAAAAATAAAAAAAATGAAAAAGCAATAAAGTAACATTATTGCTTTTTGTATTCGAATTTGTTCTGATTGCATTTACATTTTACACAAATAATAATACACACAAATAATGCACAATAATAATAATATGTAAATTAATTAATTATCATTATAGGTTAAAAAGTTTATATAAAAAAATAAATACAGAAGTAAAATTTAAAATACAATAATAAAAAATGTACAATTACAATTTTCATTTATAGTACTTAAAACAGTTATTTTATTAAGAACTTAGTTATTTTTCATTATAGTTATTATTTCTATTAAAATACATGTATTTAATTAAAATTCAGCCCTTAATATTTCTAATAATTTCTCTTGGTGTTATATTGTATGTGCAATGTTGATTCAAATTACTTTTCTGGTAGCATTAAAATAACACATTCTTTTGGTAAAGCCTAAAAAGACATTCAGGTGTCAGTTACGTTGTTGTGTAAACAGTGGAAAAGCCCAGTGAGGATGGAGTTGCCAATGATTTTCATAAGGAAAGAGCAGGGTGACACCAGAGACGGTCTGTGTTTTTTCAGCCTGTATTAGAGCTGAGATAATGCTTTCATCACTTTTACACATCTGCTATCAGAGTGAGATGAACACTGCGGTACAGCGGGTGTACAGTCTGCTTTTGGTGAACTATAACTTTATACTTCCCTTTATCCCTCCAGACAACTGAAAGCTCCCCCCCCCCCACACACACACACACACACACAAACCTTACAGATAAGAGTCTATGAATGTTACGATTGTAGCAGAACTTCAGTTTATAGTCAACATTCCACAGATATTCTATGGGAATTTCCTCTTCACTAACAGAAGACAACAAGGAAGATAAACAAGATCCACCAAGTGCATAAAAATGTGGATTAAGCATTTTGCATATTTAATACTAATAAATATTTAATACAATATGCATTTAATGAGTATTCAACAGAAATGTTCACTGACATTTTGTAGTCCTTAAATGTGGAAGAGAATTTGCTTTTTCGAGCCACTGGTTCCCTCTGGAATTTCTCATGTTTTTTGGTGTTTTAATAATTAAATAACATTCACATTTTGTGAGATTTATATTTATTTAATATAATATTTACAAAATTAGGAATAAATAATTTGAAAATGAATAAACATGAAAAATGTTTGAACTTGATAAAAATTTAATTTATTTTAGATGGAAACTTCTGTAATTATATTATAATATTTTTAACATATAAAGAAATGGTTAGAAATACAAATAAAAAAAGACTAAAATTCGAATAAGTCTAGATATAGCACAGCTTAGTTTGAAATCAAGGGTTTAAAGTTTGTTGAGAATGCAGTGTGCAGTGACAGATGAACTCTCCCGTCTACATCCAATTCGCTCTAGCGTTCTTGGCACTGTTAAAATAAAAGTCCCACTTCTGACACATCAGGCTGAAACAAAAAATGCTGATGATTAAAAATGCCAAACATTGGTCGATATCAGTCTTGGATGATATGTCAGTCGACCACTACATCAAATGTGAATTCTGAAGCTGCTCTATTTTTCTTTTTTTTAAACATAGGTTGCTAAATAAGGAAGGACTACAACTACCATAAGGATGTGAGTTTACATGCTTGACGAATCAGACCACTGCTGTAGTCCTTACTTAAAAACAACAACAAAAACATTAGCCATCCCATTGGACTAATCTGTGCAAGTAGAGAATTGTGGGTAATAATGACTTGTTCCTGATTGCTTACATGTGAGGTGAGACTTCATAGAAATTGACGCCCCTGTATCGCTCCATGTGCTGTTTAGTGTAGATCTCCAGCTCTTTGTAGGGGTTCATTGACACCAGCACAGAGCCAATGTACGTCTGAGGGAGGAAGACAGACAAACAGGAATAAGATCAATACTCTGGGATTTGAGCTTTAAGAGCGAATAGAACCGGTAGAACAGCTCTTACATAAATGAGGTTCTCCTTGAAGCGTTTGCGGAGGTTCTCGATGAACGCCACCTCGCTGGTGTGGTTCTCCAGCAGGACAAAGTCCTGCACGCCCACCCGGTCCCTGGCTGTCAGGGCGTTCTCCATCATAACTCGGATTCCGTCACTGCCCACAGCCTGACAGAGAAAGAGCAGAAGTGAGATAGAGAATCACACTTACACCCTCCAGACGCAGAGCAGCGCGAGGTGATATATAAACACTGTAACACACACAGTATGTCAAGGCCCTCTGAGAGCCTTGAATAAACTCAACAACTCCATCATGACCCCTCCCATTTCATAACATGCACAGAGTTCAGCTCATTTGAAACCCAGCTAAAGAAAGCTTTTATTTTAAAGTATTTGTATGAAAGATCTGTCAATGAACCACACATACCATTGTGAACAAAATGTCACTATCTAAAACAGTGGATCTGTCAAAGTTAATACTCTGAAACTTTAAAAGTACCAGGAAGTACTACCCTGACTTCTTTTTGATAAGATACCACCATACTACCATGGTTTTTAGACACGTACCTTGTTAAAACTAGGAAAGCAAGATACACTACAATTTAAAAATCAGTAAAAAAATATTTTTTGAAAGAAATCAATACTTTTATTCAGCAAGGACATAATAAATACATCAAAAACGACAGTAAAAAAGTGACAAATAAATTACAATTTAAAATATATTCAAATAGAAAGTTATTTAAAATTGTAAAAAAGTTTCACACTATTAATCTTTACTATATATTTTATAATATAAATGCAACCTGGGTGAGAATAAGATTTTTTTTTTTTTTAAACAAAAAAAAATATATAAAAAATACAGTCCCCAAGCTTTTGAAAAACAGTGGTACTATATTGGTTTTTAGAGATTTTTTAATTTATCAATACTAATTGCATGTATAAAAGGATATGTATTGGTTGATATTAGATATTTTATTGTACATGCCCATTTACTTCATTTGTATCTTTATATGTAATAACTCAAATAATTTAATATTACCTTGTTGCATTTAAATAAACTGATTTAAGTTTTTGGTGTTTTATTTTTAATAGGCTATATTTAAACAAAATAGCACAAGGTACAATAGCTACAAGGTACTATATAAACACTGTTGTATAAGAATACGATACTCATTAAGTGCCATATTCAAATACCATAGAATTACCATCCGATTCCATACAAATAAATTTGAATGGAATTGAAATTGAATTGAATCATTGCTTCATGGCACCACCACAGTACTATTTATAAAGGTACAATGCAGTTTTACATCATTAGCTTGATTACATCTCCTTTACAAATAAACAAGACGCTCTAAACCATCAATTTTCACACTTAAACCACATCTCTAACTACATCAGTGCAAGCTCCACCCAAACTCAAATGTGCTGACAAAACATACTCACATCTATTACCAGATCTGTATTTTTAAAGAGAGAACCCTTCTCCACAATGGAGGCCTGAGTTTTCCGCATTAGATTTCCAATGTTTGACAAATCCATGGTGTTGAAACAACCTTAGCTGTCGCTCCTTCTCCAGATATGCTCTTTATCACTGCATAAACTAGTAGGACACAAAAATTTACTAAGTTCTAGTAGGTCACTTGTCATCTGACGTCTGTAATCCTGATCAAAGAGGGCTATGGGTGATGCTTCCTAGCTTAAAACAGAAAAGCACACTTACACCCACTCACACACACAAACACACTCAGATGAACAAATGCGTGATTATGCATCGAAATACACACAGTCACATTGTGTGAATGCACCAGCTGCCAGGGCTGTTGTTTTGCTATTGACACAGCAGCGGCCGTCCCCTAGAGGGAGAGACAGATACAGCACACCTGAGCAAGCACTTTAATTAAGTTGATGCACACCAACTACAACAGGCTAACGGTGGGAAAAAACAAGCCGAAAGAAAAACATAACAGGTAAGCGGGAATAGTCGACAAGTGTAGTGCCAGGAAGTGACTTCATTGCCAATCAGTCAGCCTGCTGAATGCACCAACAGAGCTGCACCAACTCTGAAAAGTCTAACATGGCCGGGTGTTGCTCTCTCTTGTTCTCTATTAGGCCGGTTTTGCATTTCCAGCTCAAATCTGGTTTAGTCTAATCTGCAGACACCCACATGGAATCTGGTTTTCACAAACCACATTTAAATGCACTGTATTATGTTTCCATAAGATCAAAATTCAAGTGTTTTGGTTGTTTTAGTCATTTAGGATGAAACAGTAAAAACAGAAAAAAAAGAAGCAGTGCCAAGGTGTTCATAGTGGATAGTGCATAGCTATGTGGTTGCTAGGGTGTTCTGGGTGGTCGCTAAGTGGTTAATTACTGGCTTAAGTAAAAAAAAAATGTCTTATTATGTTCTTGTCACTAGATATGCTAGAGTCTACCCCTTTTATCACTTACTAGGAGAAAATCAACAAAAAAATATTTATATAGGTTAAACTGAACATACACTACCATACAAAAGTTTGGGGGCAGCAAGATTTTTTTTTTAAAGAAATGAATGTTTTCATTCAGAAAGCATGCATTTAATTGATCAAAAGTGACAGTAAAGATTTTATAATATTACAAAAGTTATTTTATACATCAAAGAATCTTGAAAAAAAAGTGGTTCCCACAAAAATAAGTGGCACAAGTGTTATTTTAAATTATTGCAATATTAACAATATTACGGTTTTCACTGTATTTCCGATCAAATAAATGAGGCATTGGTGAGTGAAAGAGACTTCTCTCAAAAACCAAAAATGTAAAAAAATCTTAATATTAACCCAGACCTTTTGAACGGTAGTGTATATATTCGATTCAAACAAATAAGAGTGTGGACACTCAGACCCACAGATCAGATTTGAAAATCAAATCAGAAGTGTGAAGTGAACATAGGCCTGGACGATAAAACGGTATCAATATTTATCGACGGTACACCTTCTTCGATAACGATATGTAACAAAGTTCGTAAGTCGGGAAGAAGGAGGCGGGAACCGGCGAACATTTAAATAAAACTTTAATAATAAAATAAACACAAAATAGCGCGCCCCTCACGGACGACTGTCGCGCACAAACGAAACCAAAATACAAAATTAAATCCAGGCCTGGTCCTCTCTCGTCTTTCCGTCGTCACTCCTCCTTTGTATCCTTCTGGAGCTCCTCCGTGGGACTCGAGACCGGTGAGTGGTGCAGGTGTCGCTCATTATCAATTACTCCACCGGCCTCGCTCCGTTCCCACGGCTCTCGGCCCCGCCCCTCTCGTCACACGATATAAAAACATTTTCGATATAGCGCACGATATAGGCACGTGCTATGAGTGACGCAGACTGCACACACAAACACGAACACATGCTGAATTGAGTGCTGTGTCTGCCTGTGATGCGGAGATTGTGAATAAAAAAAATGTATATTAGTCGAATTTAAAATAAACATTTGCATTTGAATGCAAAAATAGTACAATCAAATGTTAGGTGTGCGTCAGGGAGCGTCATCAGTGGAGTGCGAGATGTGGTGATGATGATGTTATAAGTGACGTTGTTGCATTTTTATGTTTTGTTAGTCTAGCCCACAAGACGCGCAGTTGCTGCGTTATGCATTCAAAATATTATAGAAATATAGAACCTCAATGCGGAGAAGATCTTGATTAGGTTAAAACCGAAACCAAGCTATTCACACAGAGCGCATATTCAACGCATATTTAGACGACAAATATGACTGCTGCACTCGTGTCTCATGCAAGAGATGTAGCCATGCAAAGTTAAAACAGTTTAAACTTTTTGAAAACACGTCGCAAATTTGTGGAGGTTTATTCCTAGTTCACTGCGTCTCTTATGCTTTTAAATGCAATCTGCATGATAGGCGCTTCGGCTCTTTGGATTAAGCAATGCATAAATACACGATGCTGTTTTGTTCATAATTGTTCATGCAATTTACAAAATTATATTTGATTTATACGAGTTATTGAAGACGTAATGCACGTTTTTTTATAGACTTATTTCCTTGCGTTGACAATTTAAATGTGCTGCATTATTTTGCTCATTGCGCCCTCCTGTGGCCTCGGGAGACAAGACAAAAGTTTCCTTAAGACCTATTTAATCTGCATATAAAACATTAGAAATTAGATATTTGTTTAATTTTTATTGTGTGTTTGACTGTTAAAACAAAAGAATATTTATTGTTTGTCTCAATAAATTGGGTTAATTTAAAAATAGAGTGGTTAAATGTAAAAAAAAAAAATTTCTATTGCTCTTTGTTTTAAAAAAGGTTATAAAAAAATTTCAATAATTATCGATACCGAACGATATGAAACATTATATCGTTGATACATTTTTTAGCTACATCGCCCAGCCCTAAGAACATACTGCACTCTTTTCTTAATCACATCTACATGTTTGTCTCTCTTATTTTGCATGCATATTCTTCTGCAGTGACACAGAACTGACAGTTAATAATCGGTCGTGGAGACATAATCAAAACTAAACACGCTGGCTAGACAGACCATGACATAATTTGTTGGCCAGCTCAAGCATAATATGTCCTGCCCTTCGTCAGATCATTTCCACTACAGCTACTGTACTTACTCCAAGACAGTTGTATGATACAGATCTGCGACACTTGTATAATTCAGACAGCTTTTATTTTTATTAAATACTTGCTATTTGAGGAAATAATTATTTTCATGTTATAGCCGACAACTGACAGAACAGTTAGAATTCTATACTATTATTTATAAATAACTCAAAACTAAATTAAAAACTAAAATCTAACGTTTTAAATGCTACAAGGAAATTCAAACTTCACATTAAACTACACAGCTTGAAAAATGGATATATTTATTTTGAAATATGTTAAAGATTACATTTAACGGTGTTATTCAATTATTAGTGTTTTTAAAAATGAACTTTAAGTGAGCGTTAGATTACTGCAGAGGTAATCTAAATGTAAAAATACAGAAAAAAAGCTTGTGTAATAAAATACTGAAATGAATTTAACTGGATACCCAGGTCATACAAGGATCTTTGGATATAGAGTTGTTGGAGGGTTCTTGGTGCACGTTAGCAAATATTATCTGTGCATCACCTAGATGTAAAAATCCTATAGCCGCCAAAAGCCAATATAAACAAATCTAACCATTC